TTTTTTTTTTTTTTTTTTTTTTTTAAATACACACACACAAGCTCTTAGCTCTGCATAAGACTGTAAGATGAAGGAACCATTGATCACTCCAAAGTTTCATACTATGTCTGACAGCTTCCAATTTTAGGTATCTGATATTTTTAAATAACTTAAGATAAACTATTATTCACTCCCTTGAATAACGGTACCTTGTAAGAAAATTGTGCTTGTTACCTTCTCAAACTCTTTTTACATTTCTTTATATATAGTTTTGAGAAAGGATCATTGCTCTTATTTTAATCAAAATACTTTCTATAGAACAGATTTGATTTAGATATCAGGTGGCATTGTTACATTCAGAATTCAATCATATATTTATAATAGCAGCACTTAAAAGTGCAAATGCAGTGGTGCTCAATCAGGATGCCACAGCTCTATTATTTTTCCTTGGTAATTTTTCCCTAGCATTTTCTGAGGGTTGCACTGGGTCTCTAATAAGATTGAGAACCACTGGATTATAGACTTCAGTGTTCATCACTTAAAACTTACAGGGCTCCACATTCAAAGTCACTGCCAATGAACTCTTCCAACATGCTTGTATCCACCATAGGATTCTCCAAGGCTCCATGCACATCTTGTCCTACAATTAAAAACATAGAAGAGCTTGAATTTCATCAGTGACATCTAAGAGAAACCAACAGTCCAGATTCCAGTGCAAACAGAACCAGTGCTGTCTGCTTTCTAACATGTACAAAGGACAATCACAGCAGCCCTGCCTTTAGCAAAGCCCTTTCACACAACAGAAGGGACCCATTTTCATTTGAAAATCCAGTTGCTCTGTAAGAGAAGACAATGGAAATGTAGGAAGCAGCGGGCAGCTTAAAGACATCGTAGACAGTGGCAGAGCAATTCCAGACATTGGAAATTTCTTCACATCAGTTTGAGATCTAATGTTGCAACACCAGCACATGCTCCATCGAGTGAAATAGCAAGTCCAGGTCTATATTTTGAATTCTAGAAAACATGTCTTTCATTTCATAATGATCAGCAGGTTGGGGTTAATACCAATAAAAGACAACTGGCTTAGAAAGCAAATGTTCCAATATGAAGATCCAGTGTCTACATTTATAAATTTGGTTTTGAAACATTGGCTATAAACATCTATTCTTGTTTATGTGTATTTGACTTTTTAGAACAGGAATAAAATATTTTAAATTTGATGCTGAGCCTTGGCTTCCTATTAATCTGCTAAGACCAGAACACCGACACACCAGATTTAGTCATCAGTAGGAAGGTTCAGTACTTTGTCCTTTGTTGCTTAGTAACTGAAGACTATAAAAAGATTTTATGATTATAAAGTCTATAGGATTAATGAGAACTTTGAAAAAAGAGAGAGTCAGGTGGAACTACCCTGAAAG